AATTAAATTGAAATAATACATTTTATTAATATATTATATTATATTATTAATAATAAAATACTGCAGTTAGAGCATTAATCTTAATTTGCCATTTTAATTTAATATTTAGTTATCTGAAATAAAAAATGTAATTGAAATACAATGCATTTTATTAAAATATTATATTAAATTATATTACTAATGATACTAATTAATTCTGAAATTATATTACTAATAATAAAAATTAATTGTGCAATTGGAGCATTAATCTGAAATAGGGTGACAGCATTATTTTGCCATTTTAATATAGTATTAACTTAATACAGCTTAGTAAATAAACTGTGCATCAATGGACATGGAAAAAAAAAAAGAGCCAGCAATATGTAGACATACAGTAATCTTCCAGAGTGCAGCGTTAATGAAGCGGATGGAGTCTAGCATTGCTAGCAAATCAAACGACACGCTTCTACTAGCCACGATCAAGTGTTAACATTAGCTTTTACCCACATGTGTGTTACTCTATTTATGGTAGCGGCTCCTCACGTTCCATTGATTTACATGAAATTGCTCTCAGCCCCAAGCGACGTGCTCATCCTCTCTTTGAGCACCGGCTGCTAATGATGACATTAACGTAGCTGGAAACCTTTTTGATTATAGCGGGGGCGTGAGAGCGCGTGGGACATCACCTGTGGAATATAGATGCGCTCCAAATGGAAGTCAACTGAATAATTGCGTTGATTTAACCGTGTTCTTCCAGGCAACAGAAGGGAGAATATAGAAGGAAAAGACTAAAGCATAAACGAATGTGTGGTATTTGTTTATTTTTTGCACGGTACAAAAGCGACGACTTGCCGCCTGAAGGTGCACCTGGCGATTGAAAACAAAGTGATTGACTCGGGCTTCCAGATCGCCTCGGTGCCTTTGACAGATAGCGTCAAATACTGCCTGTGAAGACAGAACGCCCTTGCGGTAGTTAACATCCAGAGAGGATTCGCACTTATTGATAGCTACACAAAAGGTGCTGAGCACAATGTCTGGCGAAGCCTCAACAAGCAAATAAAAATTGCTTTACTGAGCCCTCCAAAGGTGACAAAGAATGTCAGGCTTGCCTGCCCTGCTCTCGGTTTTCCGCCGAGGCCTCAACCCGGGCTTACGCCAACAGATGGCCATCTACGATGACACCGTGGGCCTCGACAGTTTCCTCCAGAAGGCGGTTCGCATCTCCCACCACCTAACCGCGTGCCATATGGAATCGATACCCGCTGCCGCTGTCTCACCCAGCCTGTCAGCTCCAGCACCGGAGCCCATGATCACGGATAGCTACCACCTATCGTCCACGGAACGATCTCGGAGACTCACCCATGGCCTATGTTTCTACTGTGGATCCCATGAGCACCAGCTCCGCACCTGTCCCATTCGTCCACCACGCCCAGCGGTGAGTACTATCCAGATCACTCCTGATGTGTCGTGCGTACCTCATATAAATGCTCTTCTAATTTATCGGAGGACCAGAGTGCCGACCCCAGATAAGACTGTGTTCTATGCTTCCATTTATCCCTACGTTTGACTCTTTTCTGTTGGAAGCTCCTCCTCAGTTCCTATTAATAAACTCTCTGCCTTACGTTAACCTGTTTGTTTGCCGCTTTGTCCCGGATGTGACAGATTACAAAAATGTGTTGCACTTTTTTTAGTCACTTATACTCCAACAGACCAGTGTAAAATATTTGTACCGATCTTGACGATTAATGTAAATAAGTAGTTCACCCAAAATGTAATATTGTTATTCCAAACCTATATGACTTTCTTTATTGCATTGAACAGAAAAGAGTTTTTGAAGGTTATGCTGGACACTCTTTTCCATGTTACGCATAATCAGGCAAAATGACAAAAAGCTCCATAAAAGTATCTTAAAAGTAGTCCATATGACTCTTGTACTATATTTCAAGTCTTATGATGCCGTTTTATGATAGTTTTTTGTGAAAAACTCAATATTGGTGTCCACGCAATGGAAGCATTCATCACAGTTGGTGAGAGAAGTAGTGATGTCTGATTTGTGAATTAATCGTTCTTTTGAGTTTGATTCTTTCCATTGATTCTTTGAGCCAGTTCACAAGAGCAGACAGAATGATTCATTTACAAATTGATCCGGTCCAGGTCTTGAATTCAACTTACTAACTCAACAGTCATGTAGTGGTATTGCATGACTTGGATTATAGTACATAATTCATATAGACTACTTTAACTATGCTTTAATGATGCTTTCTTTGTTATCTTCAATAACTTGCAAAAAGATCAACAGTGATATTCCTTTTGTGCTCAGCAGAGTCATACGTGACCCTGGACCTCTTAAGTGTCAATTTTTCAAAATTGAGATTTATACATCATCTGAAAGCTGAATAAATAAACTTTCCATTGATGTATGGTTAGGATAGGACAATATTTGGTTGAGATACAACTATTTGAATATCTGGAATCTGAGGGTGCAAAAAAAATAAAAATATTGAGAAAATCACCTTTAAATTTGTCCAAATGAAGTCCTTAGCAATGCATATTACTAATCAAAAATTAAGTTTTGATATATTTACTTTAGGAAATTTACAAAATATCTTCATGGAACATGATCTTTACTTAATATCCTAATGATTTTTGGCATAAAAGAAAAATCTATAATTTTGACCCATACAATGTATTTTTGGCTATTGCTACAAATATACCCCAGTGACTTAAGACTGGTTTTGTGGTCCAGGGTCACATATGGGTTAAAAAAAATTACAAATGTTATTTCTAAGTGAACCATTCTTTTAAGTTATATACCTTGCAATGTCGGCTAATAGCCAGTTTTGTTTATCCGCTCAAGTGTCCTGTTTTACATAGATTGAATTAGTGTCTGTCGGCTGCCTGTGACCAAAAATATCATTATGCTTACACTTAAGCTCAACAACTTTTCAGAAGATAAGAGTTTCTCGCTGCCCAAAGGATTCCCTTCAGTGGGCTGAAATATGAGAGGAAACTTCAAATAGAAGGAGTGCAAGGTTGAGTAATTGAAAATTATGAATGCATAATGCTTTTTAAGCAGAGCAGGATGAAGCCTATGTAAAAGATGAAGGTCTCGGGGATACAGGAAACTGCATCTGGAAGAAGTCGTTCAAATTCACTGTTACGAATCTACATCCCCTCCAGAAGTCTGAGATCCGCTAGTGAGCGACGCCTCGTGGTACCGTCACAGAGAGGCTCAAAATCACTTTCCAGAACCTTCTCGTTCACCGTTCCCGGCTGGTGGAATATGCCTGAAACTTGGTATTACGAGCACTTCCTGTGTCTGTTTGCCTCTTTAAGAAGAATCGCTTTATGTATTCCCCAATTGTAAGTCGCTTTGGATAAAAGCGTCTGCAAAATGACAAAATGTAAATGTAAATTCCCGGGACGTAATGCATGCAAAATAAGGAGCCTTTTTTTAATGCATAACTAGTCCATGTTATGTCCGTGCTAGATTAAAGCAGATGCGGCGACATGTATTAACATTAATGTGTGGCGCTTCAGTTCTGCACCTGGTAATGACATCCCACTGGAGTTGGGTAAGGATGGACCGACCCAGTTGATTGTTGGCTGGTTGCTTCAGCAAGAGCATCATTAAAAGCTGTCCGTTCTCACATAGTGCTTTTCAGTACAGCTCGATTTAGAATGGAAAATATTATGGCTGTAAGGTAATCAATAATGTTCTCTTATGTAGTCGTACAACAAAAATAATACATTCTTTTGGTGGTGGTGGTTGTTGTTGTTCAGATATCCCCTCAATGTCAGCATAGGCCTATTTTCATGTTTCATAATATTTTAACAAAAATTGCTCTGCCTCAACAACTCTCCTTTTCAGCCACAAAACTAAAAAGGATTGCGAGTAGTGTTTCAAGTTGATTTTATTTGGCCTTCTAAGGTGCTTTTTTAAGAGTCATGTAATATATAAGGTGCTTTATTTAACTTATGTACATATTTAAGTATTCTATTTTGAATATGCATGTATTATTGTTTAAATTTTTTATTTTTTATTATAAAATGTCTGAATTTAACTCTACTGTGGGTAAAATTTTTTTTTTTTTTCATTGCTGGGATCAGATCATATACAAATCACACACAAGATCTTAATATCAAATGAAGATCCATTGCTAGAATCCAATATCTATTAAACATATATTAATTTGTGCTGCTTTAAGTTTTCTTAAGAAAGTATATTACTCAGCAAACACTTCTGAAGATGTTTTCCTGAATCCATTGTAGACTTTTTATATAAAGCAACCTTTGAAAACCTTTTAAAAAAAAAATTTAAGTTTTTTTTTATTTGCTCTTTTATAGCATTTTGATTTGTTACTCACTATTATTATTTATTTATTTGTTTGTTTTTTTCATTTTATATTATTTCAGAAGGCTTTGCTTCATTTATTTCTCTACCATGTTTTGTGATGATAAAACAGTCAAATGGATTGTGAATAGTGTTTCATGTTGACTTAATGTCAAATTAAAATCTATTAAGGTACCCTTAAAGGGGTCGTATGAGGGATATTATTTATTAACGAACAGTTTGTAACACTCCAAAGAGAAAAGAAAATTTGAAATTGCATCATATGACCCCTTTAAAAAACTTAATTTTATTTTAAAACTAAAAATATATTTTATTTTATTTTATTTTTCTTTACATTATTTTGGATACTTTTTTAATTAGTTTTTTTTTTTTTCGTAGTTATTTACTAATTTTTTAAATATATATTTTTCAATATCATTTGCCTCAGAAAGGGCTTGTTTTGTCTTTTTATTTCATTTTTTTTCCTAAATCTGTCTTTCAGTTCCATGCGGAGGAGTTCTGACCATGCGCCGCGGGACCATTCTGTCTCCAGGTTACCCCGATCCCTATGACAACCATCTGAACTGCGTTTGGAAGGTCTTTGTGCCGGAGGGAACCGGAATCCAAGTGAGACAAAACTCTTGTTTTTTTTTTCCTTTTTTTGTGTCTTCTGAAAAAAATTGTGGCTTATGATTAGTAGAAGTGTGTTTGATTACTTAACGCTCGTCAGAGGATTAACATATTCTCAAGGGAATCCCATTATTATTAGTTTGCTTTATTATTGAACTTTACGTATTACTGAATATTACATTTTAGCCCTTATTTGCAACTTTTGAAGTTTAAGCAGATAATACTGCATTTTATAGTTATGCAATATGTTATAGAGGGAAAAAAGGTATTAATGTATTAATGGTCAACCAATATGGGTTTTCAATGGCTGATATCTGCTGTAATGTACAGAAGTGGTTCTCATCTGGTTTTGCTTTACATTGGACATCAAACACAGTACCAGGATTGTTGACCGTTATACTGCTTAGGCCGAACAATATGCAAAATTATTAACATGATATAAACTGAATAGGAAAATTGTGTAAATACAAAAACGACAGCATAAATGTGATTCATCATCCAAACACATGGAACAAGCACTGGACCAAATGTTGATTTAGCATTAGTCATATCACCAAGTGACAGATTTTACCATTTGATTGAATACACAGCCTTTGACGTCAATGACAAAAGAGATGAGAGGTGTTTTCTCCTCATTTTAAATGTTTATAAGCCTATTTATTTAATTATTGCATGGTTATATAACTATATAACTATTTTCATTTTATTATATGCATTTAACATTGTATTTTTCTGCCATACATCTTCCTATCAGACCAGAAGTGGCTCATTTTTATTTAGATTTATATAATAAATATTACACCTTAATTGCAGGTCTGTTCATCATGTAATCGTTCAGTTGATTCTTTGAGCCAGTTTTCAAGAGCAGACTGAATGATTCACTCACAAATTAATCCAATATAGGTCTTGAATTCAACCTACTAACTCACCAATCTGGTCACAATGGTTATTGTCGCAATATTTACTCATTATTAAAATTAACATTTAAATTTGACAGACTTCACCCAGAACTTTAGTATACTCAAAACTAGATAAAATATATATATTAAAAAAAGTGTTTTATATACAGTATTTTGTAATATTTTTGTGGGGGTTTTTTCTTGTAGATTACAGTTGTGACTTTTTCCACCGAACACAACTGGGACTCTCTAGACTTTTACGATGGTGTCGACAGCAATGCTCCAAGACTAGGGAGCTATTCGGGTAAGATGGAAACCATGTGTTTTTCTCCCTAAATTTGATATTGTTTTCCAAATAATCCAAGCACACCATGTTGACTTTAATATATTCTGCAAATACAACTGTTGCGCACTCATCCCTGGTGTCATCTTTTTTTTTTTGCACACACTAGTCAGTCTGAAGAAACTCAATGTATCGCATCTGCGAAATAAGACTATTTTTTGTAACCTCATGCCGCCTGACTTTCATCTAGAGATTTGTTTTGTCATCCAAAGCACATCAATATTTGAGCTGTCGTGGGATATCATGGATCAACAGCTTTATAAGCAGCAGGAGTGAACTCCCAAGTGTCAGAGTTTCCCTGGTGAGGCTCTCAGTATAAGTAGGAGACAGAATGATATCATTGTAGTGCTGAAAACGGCAGAGCCCTCAGAAGTCAAAGACAGATTTTAATAAATTGGTAATTGTGACGAGAGGGGCGGGGCCGAGAGCCGTGGGAACGGAGCGAGGCCGGTGGAGTAAATGCTAATGCACGACACCTGCGCCCCTCACCGGTCTCGAGTCCCACGGAGGAGCTCCGGAAGGATAAAAGGAGGAGTGAGGACCGGGTTTCGGCACCAATGTAACAACGTTCGTAGTCACGGGAAGAAGGAGGCGGGAACCGGCGAACGCTCAAAGAAAACTTTAATAAAATACACAAACACAAAATAGCGCGACAGCCCCTCGCGGACGTCTGTCGCGCACAAACAGAACCAAAACACAAAATAAAGTCCAGGCCTGGTCCTCTCTCCTCCAACACGGTCGTCACTCCTCCTTTTATCCTTCCGGAGCTCCTCCGTGGGACTCGAGACCGGTGAGTGGCGCATGTCGTAAGTGAACGTAAACAGTAGGGAGAACGTGTATCAGTACATTGCATCCATTGCAGCTGTGCATTCGGATTTAAAGGGACAGCAGCCTAATTTAGTTGCTATTTTCCGAGTCATTGGTGTTAATCAAGCAACAAAAGAAAGACAGAAAATCACGCACTGCTCTTGACTGTAGCCCTAAAGATTAATCTAAATTTATTTTCAGAAATAAATATGTCTGCTTGAAAGAATGAAGAATATGGTAAACAAGTTGCTATAAAGAATGCATAATTAGCCTATTGGAAATTTTTGAGAAATGCTTAATAAATGCACTGTAACTAAACCCATTAGATTTTAGCCAACTAAAACCTTATGATATTTAGTCGACTAAAACTGGACTAAAACTAAAAACAATTCAGATGACTAAAATATGACTAAAACTAAATGGCATTTTAGTCAAAAGACTATGACTAAAAGTAAATCAAAATTTGCTGTCAAAATTAACACTGGTACTGTATCCTCAACCTTTATTTTATTATTTTTTTTTTAAAGTTTAGTTTAGTTTTTTTATTGTTATTTATGTATTTATTTTACTCTTTACATTTTCTTATTTTTTTCATATTGTAACAACGCGCAGTTGTTCTATAGAACGTGGGGCTAACCGGAGCTAAGCTAGGCTACAAAACTTTTGCTAAGCTAATTGCTAGCAGGGTGCTAGCTAGT